GATTACAGGCGTGAGCCACTGCGCCCGGCCTGAGCATCTTTTTTATCTGCTTATTTGTCATTTGTGTATCTTCTTTGGAGAAATGTCTACTCAAATTCTTTGCCCATTTCTTAATCAGGTTGTTTTACCGTTGTTGAGTTGTAGGATTTCCTTATATATTCTGGATATTAACCCTTCATCACATACAGTGATTTGCAAATATTTTCTCCCATTCTATGGGTGGTTTTTTTTCTCTCCTAATAGTGTCTTACACGCACAGAAGTTTTTAATTTCGATAAAGTCTAATTTATCCATTTTTTTTCTTTTGTTGGCTATGATTTTGGTATCATACCGGAGAGAAATCATTGCCAAATCTAATGTCATGAAGATTTCCCTTACGTTTTCTTGTAAGAGTTTTACAGCTTTAGTTCTTATGTTTAGGTCTTTGAATCATTTTGAGTTAATTCATTTATATGGCTGATAGGGTTCCAATTTCTTTCTTTTGCATGTTGCTATCCAGTATTCCCAGTACCGTTTGTTTTTTTTTTTTTGAGACAGAGTCTCACTGTGTTGCCCGGACTAGAGTGCCGTGGCGTCATCCTAGCTCACAGCAACCTCAAACTCCTGGGCTCAAGCGATCCTCCTGCCTCAGCCTCCCGAGTAGCTGGGACTACAGGTGCACCATGACGCCCGGCTAATTTTTTGTTTCTATTTTTAGTTGACTGGCTAATTTTTTTTTTTTTATTTTTAGTAGAGATGGAGTCTCGCTCTTGATCAGGCTGGTCTTGAACTCCTGACCTCAAGCAATCCTCCTGCCTCAGCCTCCCGAGTAGCTGGGACTACAGGCATGCGCCACCATGCCCGGCTAATTTTTTTCTATATATTTTTAGTTGTCCAATTAATTTCTTTCTAATTTTAGTAGAGACGGGGTCTCGCTCTTGCTCAGGCTGGTCTGGAACTCCTGAGCTCAAACAATCCGCCCGCCTCGGCCCCCCAGAGAGCTAGGATTACAGGCGTGAGCCACCGCGCCCGGCCCCCAGTACCATTTGTTGAAAAGACTGACTGACTGTTCCCTCATAGAGTGGTGTTGGCACCCTTGTCGAAAATCATGTGACCATATATTCAAGGGTTTATTTCTGAGCTCCTGATTCTGTTCCATTGGTCCGTATGTCTGTCCTTATACAAGTACCACACTGATACTCATTTATTTAGAGATGAGGTCTTGCTATGTTGCCCAAGCTGGATTTGAACTCCTGGGCTCAAGTGACTCTCTCATCTCAGTCACTGAGTAGCTATGACTTATTACTGTGCCAAGCTAATACCACACTGTTTTTGATTGCTATAGCTTTGTAGTAAGTTTTGAAATCAGGAAGTGTGAGTTTTCTAACTTTGTTCTTTTTCAAGATTGTTTAGGCAGTTTGGATCCCTTGCATTGATGTGTATTTTAGGATAGATTTTTCTATTTCTGCAAAAACCACTGTTGGGGCTTTGTAGCAGTTTTCATTGAATCTGTAGATTGCTTTGGGTAGTACTGACATCTTAATAATCTGCCAATCTGTGAAAATGGGGTATCTTTCCATTTATTTGCTTTTAGTTTCTTTCAGCAATGTTTTATAGTTTTCAGTATATGTGTCTTTCACTTCCTTGGTTAAATGTATTCCTAAAGTTGGATGTGGTTCTTATAGTCCCAGCTATTTTTTTTTTTGAGACAGAGTCCTGTTCTGTCACCTTGGGCTAGAGTGCCGTGGCATCAGCCTAGCTCACAGCAACCTCAAACTCCTGGACTCAAGCGATCCTCCTGCCTCAGCCTCCTGAGTAGCTGAGACTACAGGTGCCTGCCACCACACCCGGCTAATTTTTCTATTTTTAGTAGAGATGGGGTCTCGCTCAGGCTTGTCTCCAATTCCTGACCTCAAGCGATCCTCCCACCTTGGCCTCCCAGAGTGCTGGGATTACAGGTGTGAGCCAACTCGCCTGGCCGGTCCCAGCTATTAATACTTGGGAAACTGAGGTGGAAAGATTATTTGGGCTCGGGAGTTTCGGACCAGCCTGGGCAACATAGAGACCCATCTCTAAAAATTGTTTTAAATTACTCTAAAGTGTTTTGTTTGTTTGTTTTTTAAAGAGACAGGGTCTTGCTCTGTCACCCAGGCTACAGTGCAGTGGTATGAAAAAAGCTGACTCTAACCCCTGAACTCTGGCCTCGAGCAGTCCCCCTAGCTCGGCTTCCCAAAACTCTGGGATTATAGGCATGAGCCACTGCACCCATCTTGTGAACAGAATTTTTAAAATTTTCTTTCAGATTTTTGATTGCTGTCGCGTAGAAATGCAGCTGATATTTGTGTGTTGATTTTGTATCCTGCAACTTTGTTGAATTTGTTCATTCTAACAAGTTTTTTCGTGTTTTGGGTGTGATTGTTAGGGTTTTCTACAAGATCATGGCATCTGCAAACATAATTTTTTTTCCTTTCCATAAGTATCATTTTTAAAATTTAAATCTTTGATCTGTGTAGAATTTTATTTTGTTACCAGGTAGGAGTTCATCTATATCACTACACTGAGGTCTGAAATTCTTAATTCTTTCATTGGACATTCATTTTTTTACTGTTTAAAAGGCTGAGGAACAACATCTTTATGTTGTCCACACCAATTTTATATTTTGAACATTTTCAGACAAAAATTGGAAAAATAGTACAGTGAACATACTTCATTGTACTAGTATACTAATAGTATGGGAATAAGCATATTTTAACACGTCGGCAAAATCCCTATTACACTTAAATCTAGTATTGAGTTTTTAGGGGTATGATTTTTCTGAAGGAGTTTCATGATACAATATCCATCAGTTTGACTTTTGCAGTAAGATTATAAAGAGGGTCAGCCACTTGGGGGTGACTATTTATAGGATTAATTAGAAGACCAAGGGCTGCCCTTTGAAAAACCGAGGTGTAACCTTTTGAGGTGCCTTTTTGTTACCATCCTTGTGAGCTTTCCCAGTCTTCTCCCTGGCCTTCATTTGTCAGTGGCTGTGCGTGTCGTGCAGTTTTCCAATACCCTGTTCCAAGTTCATGAATTCCTACTGCCTTGAGACTGGGTTATATTTACATTGTCTGAATTGGCGAGTGCCTGTGTGAAGACTGTGTGCTCACACGAAGACACGGTTTGAAAGGGCTGGTTATATAAAGGTAGTCAGTTCCTTGGTGACTGTGTGGTGCTGTCTTACACACACCTCCTCCCCTGCAGGGACTCCGACGACATGGGGATAGCACAGGCTTCGTGTGCGACAGCAGTTTGCCTTTACTGTTCTTATTCTCAGTTTAATAGAAAAATGAATGTGTTGATAGGAGGGGTGATAGGCAAAGGACTCAAGCTTAGTACCATTAGAGAGTAAGATAGGAACCATTTGTCTCTCCCAGAGTCTCAGTTGGATGCTGAATTGGGCATTTAAGCCAGTTGACTGTGGATTCAGTTCTAAAAGTATGAGAAAAAAGTGCAAATTGATAGAAACACACAAAAGGTGTGTCTGCAGATGAGGCCCTCTGAATTCTGCTTTTGCTCCCCCGCCCTTCTAGCATGCTGGTCTTTCTGCCTGGGCTGCAGGTGGACCTTCAGTCACGGGGTGGGGCAAAACACTAACACGAGTGCTGCGTATCACTCCACGGTGCTGCGGCCCACAGGAGCAAAAGGATCGCAAGGTGCCCTTACAGATGTTCTTGCTCTGACCCAGAGCTTCCCTCCTGGGAATTCATCTGAAGGGAAGAGGCAGATAAGTGCACAGTAACGTACATAGGGTGGTATTCATCAGCAATCTATTATTTGGGAATATATACATATAAAAAGGCAGCTGTGGGTTAAGATTATAAGTGATTGTCACTTGGTACAGTCTGAATGCTTTCCAAGCATACATTAACCTTTCTAATTGTGGGTGAAACCCTTCCCCATTTGAAGAGGAGAGCTTTTAAGCAAATACTATTTTTGTTGGGGCAGCAGGGGCTAGAATGTGCTAGGGAGCTCTGTCCTGTCCCCACTGCTGAACATCTGGGTCTGGGGCCTTCAGGTCCTCACCTTTCCTCACATCGTTTCCTCTTCCCTGCAGACTGCAATAAGGTCACTGATCAGTGCCTGTCCTTCTTTAAACGCTGTGGAAACATCTGTCACATTGACCTGAGGTACTGCAAGCAAGTCACCAAGGCAGGCTGTGAGCAGTTCATAGCCGAAATGTCTGTGAGTGTCCAGTTTGGGCAAGTGGAAGAAAAACTCCTGCAAAAACTGAGTTAGTCCCAGGACAAGGATGTAAATACGGGGTGGGCAGGGAGGGGAGGGCACAGGGCCGGGGAGGGAGAAAGACTTTACAAAAGAGGAGGGCTTTTATTTTCCATTTGGAACTTGAAACAACAGACCACAGAACGATTCCATTTTGCAAGTCTTTGCAAGGAGAAGCCATTCAACCACCTGTTTTGGGGATGAGTGAGCCGGACGCTTTCCTTTGGTCTTTCTGAATCGTAATTGCACTGCTTTCTGGACCATTTCTAAGGCGGCCTTTACAAGAAGACATTCCCGTCAGAGAGGAGGGTGGACTTTGGAGAAATTCTCTTATCGAAGCGTGAGCTTAGGAGCTTTTGTTGGTGGTGGTGTTGTTTTGGACACCTCATTCCTTGCAACTTCAAGGTTTTTGGTGTCTACGTAAAGTGGACCACACACCACCTCTGCTGCCGTCTTGACACTTTCTTTTTTTGTTTGTTTGGTTTTGTTACATCTTACATTATGCAGAACTATTTTTGTACAAATTGTTTAAAAGTTATTTATGCAAGGTTTGAATGCATACCAGTGTTTTTATTGTTTTGAGATTGCCAATTTTCCTGATTTCCTTAAGGTAGGAGAGAACTTAACCTGTACTTCATCGACACAACCATCTACAAATGTCCCAGATCTGACAAAGCGGGCTGAGACCTTCCACTTAAAAGCATGTTTAACTGGAAGTTGAGAGCCTTCTTTGTATGTCAAGAAGTTACATGAGCATGTTGTGGATAAATGTAAATTATAGTCGAAGTAAGACACTTTGCCAAGTTTCCTCTATATAGAATTCACTTTTCAAAATTTCGACTTCAGCCTTTGCACTCAGGAGGGTTTGCTCCAGCATGAGCTCTTATACTCTACATAGATCTAATTTATACCGTGAGTCAAGAAGTAGAATAAATGCTCCCACATAGCCTTTTTTTTACTTTTTTCTCTCCTTTGAAGTGTGAGTTGAGTTCTCATTTAGGTTTGTAACATGGCTATTTCCTAGTTGTAAAGTTCTGCATTTATAAGTGCCATTGTTGTAAGGTGGTGTTTCTTAGACCTTCCCTGCTGCGGTTTTACCTTTGTTGAATTTGTATAAACAATTGTACAAAAAAAACCACTCTTGAACTTTGAGGGTTTTTGTTCTAGGAGTGGACTAGAGTCAGAGTCTCAATACTAGTTAGTGTATGTTGTTCAAAGCCAGTAACAGTATGATTTCTCACTCACCTGAGAAATGCAGCAGCCCCGTGGTACGTGACTTTTTCCTTTTTCTTCTTCAGAAAGATCTTAACTGTTTTTAGCTAATTAAGGTAATAGGAAAGAACTATGCTAACAATGGGCATATGTAGGAATTAAGTACAGAATTCCTTAAGGGGCAGGGTGGCTCACCTGTCCGGTGCCTCTCGCCACACCTGTACAAAGTAATTTCCATGGCCACTTGCCATTACCCAAGGGTTACTCAGATTTGGGGGGGCCGAGTATCATTTACTCAGCCTCCCAGTGGGAAGAGGCTACCATCCTGCACAGGTAGCCTTGAGCCATGGTGGCTGTAGGAGACGCTTGGTTCTGAGGTTGCTTCCCCAAGTGGCAGACACAGAAACTAGTGAGAATTAATTTTAAATTACATAATTTTTTTAAAGACAGCAACCTCGTTCACATACACAGTGAATCTGAGGATTCAGAAAGTAACCAACTTCCTCAATAATCAAGAGCAACTTTAAGACCTTGACCCTGTAGGATGCGCTTTTCCTGCTAATGGTTAAGTTTTATATTTGCCCCAGCAAACTGGTTTTATTAAAATGGGACAAAGATCCCATGCAGCTCTGTCTCCTGTTAATTTAAATCCAGAGACCCTTTCTGACTCAAACTGAAACCATTTGAAGCCATTGTACCCCAGAATTTAACTGAGAGGATCCACTTACCTGAATTACATTAGTTATCACTCTATGGCTTATTTACAAAAATGTGGCTTCCCTTTCCAGGCCTGATCGTTCAACATGCAACGAAAGGTAAAGTTTGTTTTCTTGGTGATGGTCTCTGAACCTCCAGATAAGACAGTTAACCCTGCTGGTCCAGTAAAGTCATCTTCTTCCTAGAGAATTGCTTTAAGGGTAATCATGGTTTTCTCATGAACAGTTCTTGCAGTCGGTCATTACCAGCTAACACTGAAACTTGTAGCTGCAGCTGGTACTGGCTAAGAGACACAGGGACACTGGGGTTAGAGGACAGTGTTTCTCCTGTAAGGTTTCCTGGAGCACATGCGTACGCTAGGCAGGGGCTGCCAAGGCTGGGACCCAAGCCACCAGAGGGACACAACAAAGCAAAGACATGACATATATTCAGGTTCAGGAGACACCACAGTGGGCACAGATGAACTTCCCCTGTAAGTACCGAACAATCCAGTAAGGTCTTGTCTCTGTATAGACTGTTTATTTTTAAAATGAGCTTCAGATGAGGCCAGCTAAGTTAAATGCTACAAGCAGCTGCTCTGGAACCCACATGCCACGTCTGATGAAGTCACGAAAGGACACCATAAGCCCCAAGGAGTGCTTGCCGTGTTAATCACAGCGCAGTAACCTAGAAAAGAGGCTCTGTCCCTTTCTTTAGGAGTCTGATGTTTACAAAGAAAGATACCATGGTGCCTCAAATGACATCCTTTCACATTGTGAGGATGGGACAAGGAGACATAGTCCACTGTGGACTTTCAGAATGTTATCCATATCATGTGACCTACTCAAAAAATTTGCTTAAAGAGGCATGAATATGCCACTTTTTAAAAATGCAGATTCCAGGGGAAAATGTCTTGTCCTCTGCCAGATAAGTCAGTTATTCCAAGTGTCAAGCTCGTACACTAAAAATTTTCATCTGGTCCCTAAACAGTTACTTCAAAATGCTATCAAAAAAATCCACCACTATTTTTTCTCTTGCTGTAATATATAAATCCAAGAGGAAACATTAAACAAGGTGTTTTAAGCTGCGACTACGTACAAATAAATCTGAATACTTGAATTTAACTTCAGACAAAACCAGCACCTGCTGCTTAGCTTCTGCTTAAGTTTGCTTACTGTCACTTGCTATCCTGCATTTAAAGATTTCCCACCATCAAGTTAGTGTTAAATTTCCAGAGTCTCGGCCAGGCGCGGTGGCTCACGCCTGTAATCCTAGCACTCTGGGAGGCCGAGGCGGGCAGATTGTTTGAACTCAGGAGTTCGAGACCAGCCTGAGCAAGAGTGAGACCCCATCTCTACTAAAAAAAA